CTAAGCCCAGGAGTTGGAGGTTGCTGTGAGCTGTGACACCACGGCACTCCACCGAGGGTGACAAAGTAAGACTCTGTCTCTAAAAAAATTTTTTCAAAAATGTGATATAATTACCCCCATTATACCTTTTAAAAAACTAAAATTTTTATTATTTATTTTTTTGAGACAGAGCCTCAAGCTATCCCCCTGGGTAGAGTGCCATGGCATCACAGCTCACAGCAACCTCCAAATCCTGGGCTCAAGCAAGTCTCCTGCCTCAGCTTCCCAAGTAGCTGGGACCACAGGCGCCCGCCACAACACCCGGCTATTTTTTGGTTGCAGCCGTCATTGTTGTTTTTGGTGGGCCTGGGCTGGAATCGAACCCGCCGCCTCAGGTGTAATGTGGCTGGTGCCTTAGTCACTTGAGCCACAGGCGCCAAGCCAACTAACATTTTTAAAATTAAAGTTTAACAGATATAAAGTGCAGGTTCCAAGTGTTCACATTTAATGATGTTTTATAAGCTGAATACACCTAAATGAACCAGATAAACCCAGTTACATACATTCTTAAAGTTCATTTTGTTATTTTCTCCAGTGTGAACCTCTGGTTGGAAGTATAACTGACCTATCATAACATTTGTCCCATCCTGACTCTGTCACCTGGCAGTATTTGAAGATCACCAAAATACTGGGTAGTTACAAATTAGTTGTTAATGAGCACTTACAGATGCCGTAAGACTTCAGAGGAGGTGAGATTTAAAGTAATCCCTGAGACCCTAAAAACAGAAGAATTGTGGAATTGTATAGCCCATCTCATAGGTGAAGTTCAGGGAAGGTGAAGAGTTTGCCATCTGCAAGGAGGCCACTCCAGTAAGTGGCTTCTCTTACACTTAGATATACACACTTATCCACACAGAGACAGAGATAGATACTCTCCGAGAAGTCCCCACTGAAATGGATCCTGACCAGGAAGGAAACCATTGTGGGGAGAGACTAATCAGGGCTGGTGAGGTCACCTCCCAGGGACGCTGCCCGCTAGCTCTAGGGCTCAGTACCCCACATCCCAGATGCCCAGGCTACCCTTCTTTCCCCATCTGCTCTCTGCTCTCAAGTGGGCTGCTGGCAAGGAGACAGCCCTGCTGGCCCGTCCTGGCACGTTGAGAAAACTGCTGGATAAAACTGAAACCTGTCTGTGGCCAGAGTGTGTTGTGAGCAAGTGTCCCATGCCAGCCCAGCTTGCGTTCTACTCGGACAACACAGTCTGAAGTCTCAAGCCAGCTCTGCCACTTACCAGCCATCATACCACAGGCAGCTCCCAGCCCTAACAGGCATCCCAGAGTTGTCACGATGTGCTGCTCCGTCATACATGGGGGAAGCTTGGCAAAGTGCAGAGCACATCTTAATAACAATATTTATTGAGCAGTCCCCGTAGGCTCCGTCATAAGTGTCACACACATATCTCCTTTACTCTCTTCAGTAGCTCATGGGAAAGGTGCTTCTGTTATCCCCATTTTAGAGATAAAGGGCCTGAGGCTTGAAGTAGAATAACTCCCCAGGGTCATATAGCCACTTAAATGATGGGGCCCTACTGAAACCCCGCCAGATTGTGGCTAAACTGGCCTACTCAGCTGCCACTTACAACCATTTGGCCATCCATTAGTTATTTACCGAGCACCTACCATTATCAGACATTGTTCTAGGTGCTGGCAAGACAGCAGGCATGAACAGATGAAGCCTACTCCCTCATCCTTGAGTTGGGGTCCTTTGGGGAGGAATTCTCTTAGAGATGTGTTTTGGGGGCACTTCCAGAAAAGCCTGCCTCCCCCCAAATTCCCTCTGTGCTGCTTGTCTTTGATCTTTGAAGCCCCCTACAGTCCTCCCCTTGGAGAGATGATGGATGAGAGCCTGGTGTCCCTGAGTCCGTGTGTGTCCCTAAGTCTGTGTGTGTCCCATGCCCTATAGAGCAGGGGACTATGTGCATCAAGCTGTTCCCTCCAGGCCCTGGCCTGGTTCCCCAGCCTCTTGCCCTGGAGTTTCCCCTGCAGCCCCTCCTCTGTTGGAGGGGAGGCCAGTCGTCAGCCCAGCAGCTGTTTGCTATTGAAGGACCTCATCTTGATCCTGGCACACCTTGTCAGACCAGCTGACAGCACTCATGCCAGCTGATAAGAGTCTTGGGGGGCCCACGGTCACCCCGCTCACCCAACCCTGCCACTTCCACGTGGCCTCGCGCCTGTTATTCTGTATGTCTCCACACACAAAGAGCCGGGTGCTGTTCCTGGCGCTCAGCTGCTGGAGTGGGGAGGGAGGGCAGCAGTGAAAAGCTTTTCAGAAAGGCCAGGGCAGAGGCAGGAGTCACCCAGGTGATCGGAGCAGTTCCCCTGGGACCCCAGCCCAGGACCACAGTGAAAGGTTACTGCTAATTGGCAAGCTCCTGATGGGGCTGCATCTATTTAGCACTCCCCCCTCCCCAGAGGCTTCCAGGATGGTCTTGGCACAGCGTGTGACTCGAGAGCTCCCCGCCCGAGTCTGGCACAATCTGTCTGAAATTGTGAACATGGAGCCTCTTGGTTTTTTAATTTGTATTTTCGTTGTTGTCCTTCTTTGCCCATTGTTGCTGGTAGATTTAACAGCAGCAGCCACCCTGACTCTGGTACCCCCTCCTGGGAGCCCTCTTGGCAGGTTCCCTCCCCTCCCACCCTCCGACCCACCAATGGAGGCATTGAGGTCCCGACCTGATGCCCTGGCCTCAGGGCCCAGCTCTCACCCTGCCATCATCCCTGACACTAACACAGCTTGTCCACCCTGTCGCAGGGGGCAGATGGCCTGTCGGAGCCGGAGGGCATCTCTCTGAAGCGGGTCGCTGTGGTGGAAGATTTCTTTGACATCATCTACTCGATGCATGTGGAGAGCTCAGCGGAGCCAGGCAAAGCCCCCAAGCACGCCGGGCAGAAGAAAACCTACCGAGCGGTGAGATTTCTGTCTCTTTGCCTCCGCTGGCAGCCCCAGGCCTTGGCAGGAGGCCACGGGCTCCGCACATGTTGGGCTGGGGGGCGGGGCAGGGAGCTGAGGCGTGATGAAACGGCCTTTGGGGACCCAGGGGGGCACAGGGCAAGGGCATGGCAGCCAGAGATGGCTTAGATGGTGGGGCGGGCTCTGTGGCCTGAGCACAAAGTCGAAGCAGGTTGAAGGAGGAGGAAGAGGAGGGGGGAAGGGACAAGGGCAGTTTTGCTCCCCCCCCCCCAGCTCCTTGCAGCCCGTTCTCAGGCTGTGGGTGGGTGCAGGTATAATAATCACAAGAGCAAATGCTCCGTGGCCTGGCATTTACTGTGTGCCCGGCCAGCCCCGGGTGCCTCTTATGTGTGAGCTCATCCACTTCCCCCACAGCCCTGGGAAGTTAGGACAGGGAGTCCCCCAGGGGAAGTCTGAGAACTTGCTCCTCACTGTCAGGGAGATCACAGTGGGACTGGGGTGGGAGGCTGAAAGCTGAGGCTAGGCACATGAGAAGCAGAAGTGTGTCCAAGGCCAGGCTTGAGAGAGCAAGAACCTGGGTGCCCAGGGGTGGGGAGTGGGCCGGTTCAGCAGAGGCACCACCAGACTCAGCCTCTCAGTGCTAAGCCCTGGGCCTTCACAGAGAAGATGATATGTAAACTTGGGTAGGCAGTGGGGAGTAGAGACAGCCATCTAGGGGTGGGAGGAAGGCAGAGGTAGAGGGAACTGTGGCCAGGTCCTGCCGGAGGGGCCCATCCGTGTTCTGCTGCCATCCCTGTCAACTCCCACATCTGTCTGTTGCCTTGTCACACACAGCTCTAAACCACTGGTGGGGTGTCCACCATTAGGCCAGTAAAGCCAAGCACTTTATGCTTGTTCGGGCCTTACAGCAGTCCTGTGACCAAGACATTGAGGTCCCATTTCACAGTTACAGAAACTGAGGCCCAGAGAATTGAGTTACCTGGGCAAGGTCACACAGCACCTGAGTCTCAGTCTCCCAGTGTCCCCCTTCCCCCTCCCTGGTGACTTTCTCTGTAGCCCTTCTGTGACCGGGCTTTCCCACCCAAGGCAGATATGAAACTCCCTCCCCCAAGGTTTTTGTATAAATAGCCTTGGACTACTGTGGAGGTGGCTGTGTAAGTCTATAATTTCTCCTTATGGCCTGATTTTTAAAAAATCCAGCAGTCTGGTTTGTCCTTGTCCTCAGAAAAATGGCCTTTGGCCTAAATAGATCTTAAGGATGGACCCATGTGCCAAGGGTCTCAGAGAGAGAGGTGAGCTGATTATTCTAGCTCCTCCACCCTCCAGCTACGAAAAGCAGCTTGTGGAGGGAGTTCTGAGGGTATTCCCACCAGAAGGTCGTAGAAGAAAGGAGAGGCACCCGGTCTGGGGCCAGCAAGGGAGAGGAGTCCCAGCCTGTTTTCCCAGCATTGAATCTACCACTGTGCCCAGCAGGTAGCAGGCGCTACCTCCTAGCACAGGTCTACGCACAGCACCTCCTGTGCACCACCTCCTGACCCTTGGTGTGCATGACAGCTGTATGCCTGAAGTTGGTGCCGTTGTTACCCCCATTTCAAGAGGAGGAAACTGAGGCTCAGACCTCAGTTTCCTATAACCTGCCTGAGATTACTGAGCTGACATTTATAGCCAGACTGCTGGCCCCAGAGCCTGTGCCCTGACCCCCACACATCCTGCCTCTCTGCAAACCTCCTGTGGTCAGCTGGTAACTCCCACGACTTGCTGCTGTCCAGGTGGGTGGACTTGGGCCAGCTAGACCACATGAATTCTCTGGCCCCTTCAGTGTCCAGCACCAAGCTTCACCCACAGGCTCTCCTTGGATATTATGAAGGCAAGATCTATGGCCTCCATACTGTGGGGAGGATAAGGCTGGGCTGGTCCTGCCAGCGCCTGTGTCACCAGCCAAACAGACCTCCAGCCCTTTGCTCTGCACTTCCTGGCTTCTCGTCCATATGCCCGCCGCGTGCCCCACTTCCCGCTGCCCAGCCTGGAGCTGGCACATGACTGGCGTCAAGCCAGCTGGGCTGCACACAGAGCTGGAATTTCAGCAGCACGGCCAAGCCTGGGCTGAGCTGGCCAGGGCCCTCCTGTGGTGGGTGTGAGGCTGAGGGGCACCTCCCTCTTCCCCTGTGCGCCTCCTCTCCCTCCTCCTCCTCCCCATCTGTCACCCTTCTCATGCCACCCTCTTCCTTTTTGGGGTGGTGCCTGGATGCCTTTGTCCCCCTCTTCTCATCTGCTCCCATTTTCCTTGGCCCAAGCCTAGCTCTTCAGCTGCACTCTGCAGACATGAGGCCACTATCTGTGCCTCTGGAAAGAGCCCCCCAAGGAAACCCTGTGCTGATGGCTGCATAGAGGCACAGCTGGCACTATGGGGTGTGCATCAATCCCTTGGCCGAGGACTTTTGGTTGTCTCTGTGTGTTTTGTCACAGCTGAATCCTGGGACAGCCTCACCCCTCTAGACGACAGGGGCCTTTGGAATTCTTTCAGGCCCGGGTGCCCAGGAGTCAGGCACTGGTAGGATGGTGGGCAGACTTGCTCAGTGCACAAAGGGGGCACATTCTTTGGTGGGGGAAAAAAGGACTTTCTAGCTTCTACGCTGTCCAGTAGTGGATCAGGGAAGGCAGGTAATGAGCTTTCTGAAACTAGAGGTATTTGAGCCAGTGGCAGATGACCAGTTAACAATGGACACTACAGGCTAGGCACGGTGGTGCATGCCTGTAATGCTAGCACTCTGGGAGGCTGAGGTGGGAAAATCCCTTAAGGCCAGGAGATTGAGCAAGAGTGAGATATGATCTCTACTTAAAAAAAAAAAAGCATGGTGGTTCACACCTGTAATCCTAGCACTCTGGGAGGCTGAGGCAGATAGATTGCCTGAGCTTAGGAGTTTGAGACCAGCTTGAGCAGAGTGAGATCCTGTCTCTAAAAATTATCTGGGAATTGTGGTGGGTACCTATAGTCCCAGCTACTTGGGAGCCTGAGGCAAGAGGATCACTTGAGCCCAAGAGTTTAAGGTTGCTATGAGGTATGATGCCATGGCACTCTACCAAGGGCAACAAAATAAGACTCTTGTCTCAAAAAACAAAACAAAAACAAAAAACAGGACAATGCACAGGACTCAAACATAATGAGTACTAAGCCCTGCCTTACTTACCTCTAGTGTAGCATGACCTGAATCTAGAAGCTTGTGGGGGTTCTCACCAGTGCAAGGTATGGGGAAGGTTCTGGGTGGTTCTGCAAAGTTCCCTGAACCCACCTAGAGGACTGGTCCTTTTTAGAAGGGGTTTTCCTGCTATTCTGATTCCCGTACCCATTTAGGTTGGAGTGAGCCCTTCTGCTTCTTTTCTCTCCCAGGGTGCTAGTAGGCTAGATCAGCTTCCAGGGTCTGCATCTAGCTGCCCAGGCCACTTTGGAGCTGGAGCCAGATGTGGTCAGCAGCTGCTCCAGGCCCACCACGTGCTAATCCACCGCAGGGTAGAAGGAGGATCTTGTAAAGTGGTGCAAATCCCCCCAATTGGCCTCATCTGTCTTTGTCGGCCTCTGAGTTGCAGAATGAAAATGGGGCCTTGCAAGTCAGCGACTCTGCAAATAGCTCCTGCTCGCCGTGCCAGTGAAATCTCTGTTTCTACCAGTAGGAAAAACGTAAAAGGCAAATTCACATATAGGTCTTGATGTCTAGGCTGGAGGTGTGGTGCCGAGAGCAAGGCAGCAGGCAGCCCAGGGCAGCTGAGGGAAACTGGGTGGGGACCAGGGTCTGGAGTTCTGCTCCTTAAACACAGCGGCTCCATCTTTATCTGTTTCATGTTTTGGGCATCCGCGTAAGAGTCTATTTCTAGAACAGGGTCTGTAGCTTAAAACCATCTGAAAACCACGATCCTATTGACCAGAGCATCTGCTAGGATTCTCCTCGTGATTTTAGCTCATCTTGTGGTCCTGTGGCCTCTATGTGGCATCTATGCACTGAAACAGAAATGGAGGTCCCGTTTCTGGTCCTGGGTGAGCCAGGAAGATGAACCAGAAGATGCCTACAGAAGGTGGGGATGGGGGACGTCATCCTTCATACAGGTCCCTACAGCAGCGCAGAGCTGGGCTGGACTCTGCACTTTGCCGAGTCCCTGGGGAGTTCTAAGCAAAGCTGCAGACGCTGCAGCTGTGCAGGGCAGGGCTTCCCTCCCTGGCCATCTGACAGCTCCAAGGACTTCTCACCCACTGGCCTCCAGTCCACCTCTTCTTCCCTTTTGTGGTACCCAGAGCCTAGAGATATATGCCCAGACCACCCCCTCCACATGGCACACCAGCCAGCCTTTGCACACCATTGGTGACCTGCCAAGGCCAGGGAAACTGCAGCCACCACTCTCACCCCTGGAAAGGGAACTGTCCTGTCCCCTCAACAGGGCATGTGGTGAAAGGGCCCTTGCCCATCCTGTATGCAGCCCTCTCTAGTGCAGCCGGGCTATGAGGTTCTCCCTGAACCTTTAAAAAATATTTCTCTGCCCAGCAGCAGGTGGGCGAGCAGGCTCTGAGTAGTTAAGTAGGGCTGCCCAATGGTATGTACCCGTCTCTCCTTTTCTGAGCTGCCTATGCAACCCTCCTCCACCAAGTCCTTTGCTCAGCTCTCCTGAGGCCTGACTTGGGGTGCCACGTCAGCCATAGCCTGCTCTGCCTAGCACGTGCCCTGCCTTCCTGCCCGCTGGTTCCTGCAGCCGTCAGCCCTTCAGCCAGGCACTCCTTCCTGACCCAGCAGGCCTGAGAGGAACACTGCCCCCAAGATTTCTGGGCAACTCCAGGCTGGGGACGATCTCCCTGTGCCTGGCAGAAAAGCCCCTGTCCCTCAGCTGCACCTCTAACTGTCACTCTCCAATCCACCAGCTTTAGTCAGAGACACTGGGGTTTGCCCTTGTCCCTGACCTCCAGAGAAAGGCAATCAGACAGGGAATTTGGAAGGGAGATAACTCATCAAGGAGCCTGTCTGCTCCACAGAGCATCAAATCAGCTGAGAAATAACAACTGTGTCACCAAAATTAACTTGGCGTTTGCAACTGGCAGGAGTAGCCCCCTGGAACTCTGGAGGACTGAGCTGGGAGCCTGCCTGAGCTGGTTCTCTGGTCCTCCAAGGGCCTGGCCACAGCTGGTGGCACCCAGGCTTTCTGCGTAACCCCACCCTGCCCCACCTCTACCTCTCAGCTGTTGCAGAGATGCAGCAGGATATTCATGCATCCCCAAAGGAGCAGACTGGTGTTGTCCCCGAGGGAAGGCAGGGCCCAGAGCAGCCCCTTTCAACACGGCCAACTTTCCCAGCCAAGCTGCAGTAACGCTTGGATGCTGGAACGCTTGGGTGTTGCTGCCCCTTAGTGGAGAAGAGTGGGAGGACCCAGGCTCTAGGAAGCACATGTGAAAACCAGTGATGGGGCAGCCTCAGCCCAGGGATCCTGAGACTGAGGGGACCCTGTGGCCCCCACAGGCAGCCAAATCAGGGCCAGCAGTTTTCATGAAGCCCAGAGAAAGAGGAGAGGGCTAGACTTCGGGCCCACACCTATCTCTTCCCCATCCAGCCTTGTCTGTCCCCCCTCCTCTTCTTTCTCCCCTTCATCCCTTTCCCCTCCCTGTCCCCAGCCAGAGGAGGCCCTCTGGGGACAGCTCTGGAGTGGTGTGACCTAGAGCATGGTTAGGCTTCTGTCTGGCACTGTCTCAAAAAAACTTGTGACCTTGGTGAGTTGGTTCACTTCTCTGGGCCTCAGAGGAACATGGGGGTCCCTAGAGCCTGTCCAGTTTGAAAAATCTGATACCCCTCACAGCTCTCCCTAAGAAGATTCGTGATCTGTGAGTCACCACAAGAAATAGCTCACAGAACCTTGGGTTCTGCCCATAGGCCTAGAGCCAGTGAATTTGTAAGTGGGTCTCAGTTTATTCATCTTTAAGAGAGGAAGTTGTTCACTCTACCCAGAGCCATGTTTACAAGCTTACTTTTAGTAGTAGCAGTAAAACGTCCTGAGAGGATTATTAGAACACAGGCTAGAGGCTAGATCAGTGGTTCTCAACCTTCCTGATGCCTCCTAATGCCACAACCCTTTAATACGGTTCTTCATGTTGTAGTGACCCCCCCAGCCATAAAATTATTTTTGTTGCTACTTCATAATTGCAATTTTGCTACTGTTATGAATCGTAATGTAAACATCTGATATGCAGGATGTATTTTCATTGTTACAAAGGGGTCGACCCACAGGTTGAGAACCGCTGGGCTAGATAATGGTGTTTAAATAAGGCTTTGCTTTTTCAGTTTTTAACCTTCTTTATTCATGTTTTTAAAACAAATGGCTTAAAATAAATAAATAAACAAATAAAATACAACAAATGGCTTTCCACAAAAGTACCAACTTGTTTCCACAGCTAAGAATCACGGACACCTGCCCCTTGCTCCACAAATCCCTGACGTCCCTCACAAGAGCCAAAGCGCCTGCCACTAAGGTACGGCTCTTGGTGACCTCATGGCCAAGTCACCTCCCCGTGGATCCACATAACAAGCAAAGCTCTTCTCTCCCCCAGATCGCAGAGACCTACGCCTTCCTCCCGAGAGAGGCCGTGACCCGGTTCCTGATGAGCTGCACAGAGTGTCAGAAGAGGATGCACTTTAACTCCAATGGCCTGGAGCCCAAAGGTAGGGGAGGCAGCGGTTGGGGGCTCAGGCCAGAGCTAATGCTGTCAGCCTCTAGCACTGGCAGGGCCTTCGCTAGCACAAATAGAAAGGTGCAGGTCCAGCAGTTGTCACCAACAACACGTTTTTTTGGTTCCCTGTGTATACGGACAAACCAACAAGAAGTTTCTCCTGCCCCTCAAGGCTCAGGCCAGCCCTTCACCCCTGATACTTGGCCACCCTGCACATTCTCAAATCTCCACCAGCCTCACACTCAGCTGTTTCTCTGCATACACGCCTGATCCTATGCTCTGGCCTGTGTGCTCTCCGAAGAGAGGAGCATACCTCTGGATGCATGTAGCCCAAAATACCTGCCAGTGATGGGTCCTGCCTCTCTGTACACACCCAGCTGGCCTCTGATTGGTAAATCTACGGAGACAGATTAGGATTTTAAATGCCCAGAGCAGGCTGGGCTTAGTGGCTCTCTCCTGTAATCCTAGCATTCTGGAAGACTGAGGAGGCAGATTGCTTGAGCTCAAGAGTCCAAGACCAGCTTGAGCAAGAGCGAGACCCCATCTCTACTAAAAATAGAAAAACTGTGGCAAGAGGATCACTTGAGCCCAAGAGTTTGAGGTTGCTGTGAGCTATGATGATGCCATGACACTGTACCCAGGATGACAGAGTGAGATTTTGTCACAAAAAATGTAAAAGTTGGCTCAGCACCTGTGGCTCAAGTGGCTAAGGCGCCAGCCACATACACCTAAGGTGGTGGGTTCAAATCCAGCCCGGGCCCGCCAAACAACAATGATGGCTGCAACCAAAAAATAGCCAGGCGTTGCGGCAGGTACCTGTGGTCCCAGCTACTTGGGAGGCTGAGGCAGGAGACTAGCTTGAGCCCAGGAGTTGGAGGTTGCTGTGATGCCATAGCACTCTACCCAGGGGAATAGCTTAAGGCTCTGTCTCAAAAAAAAAAATATATATATATATATGTGTGTGTGTGTGTGTGTATATATATATATGTGTGTGTGTGTAAAAAATAAAACAAAATGCCCAGGCCAGGTGCAATATCTCACGTCTGTAATCCTAGCACTCTGGGAGGCAGGTAGATTGTTTGAGCTTACAAGTTCAAGACCAACCTGAGAAAAAGTGAGGCCCTGTCTCTACTAAAAATAGAAAAAACTGAGGCAAGAGGATTGCTTGAGCCCAACAGTTGGAGGTTGTATGATACCACGGCACTCTACCCAGGGCAACACCTTGAGACTCTGTCTCAAAGGAAAAAAAAATGCCCAGAGCACTTGTGGCTAACCAGAGTTGGTACCTTGGACTGAAGTCTACACTCTTCAGCTCTGTCCTGCTCAGTGAGACTAGTAAGGACCCCAAAGTAGACTTCAGCCTACCTCAGGTACCTCAAACCTACATTCCCCCAGAGGCCTTCTATAAATCTGGGGGCTGTCTGCTTATAGGTGGCTTTAGCACAGCAAGATGATCCGACATATTTGGTTGGTATGATTTTGACTCTGTCCTGAGCAATGGTGCCCAGGTGGAGATCACCCAGATTCCTAGGCCTTCCTGGCACACCATGCCAGCTCCCGGCATCAGACCTGGGGAAGTTGCTGAGGTCAGTGAGTGGCCTGAGAAGGGAAACAGGCATGGAATGAAGAAGGGTGAGCCATTTATCCGGGTGCTCACGTAGCAACCACTGAATCCGGGGAAGGAAAAATCAACAGTGAAGCCTGAGCAGGCAGCGACAAAGGGATGGGAGCATGGGGGCATGCAGGACTTGCCTCTTACCTTAGTTGTCCCCGACACCAGCTCACTCCCCAAATCCAGAGGCTTTCATTCCCGTGAGAGCTGTGAGGCCACAGCAGCCTCATCTGGACAGCTCCTAAGTTACAAGGGACAGGGACAGACCTAGGTGATCCCTCGTAAGTACTGGCTCCAGTATTGAGAATAAATAGGGCTCCAGTGCCCCTCTGTGTGCTTTTGAGTCACAGCTCTGCTATTCATTGCTGTGTGTCCTGGGCAAGTGACTTCATCCTCTGAGCCTGAGTTTCCTCATCTATGAAATGAGCTCCATAATGGCACCTCCCTCAGAGGACTGACAAGATTTGAACATTTGTCCCTGTACCTGGCATCGGGTCATGGTACCCAGAAGGATGAGCTGTGGCAATTGCAGTGATAATGCAGGAGGCCTAAGTGAATGATCCTGAGTGACACTGCCCCCTGTGGCCTGGCCTTGGCTGAGTGGCTGCAACTTCTGGGCCAAGACAGCATTTGGTACCTGTGGGTGGGCAGGAGGCTTTCCCACCCTGCCAGGGTCTAGGCCTCAGGGGCGTGTGCCCTGGCAGTGGCTGCCCTGTTCCTGCCTGCCCCCCCCCATTCCTGTCCTAATTGTTCCCATAGCAACTGGCGGAGTCAGGCAGAACTGCTTGCCTGGAGGAGCAGAAGCCAGGCCAAGAGAGGCTGCACTTGTGGGCTGCTCCCGGGTATTTGCAGGCTCCAGCTACTCTGCTCTCCTGCCCCCCATGTGTAGTGTGGAGGCTGTTCCTCACCTCCCCCGCCCTCCTCACTGAAGGCTGCGGGTATCCCAGGGCTGTGGGCTCCATACCTTGTCTGTGGGTTTCAGCACAGCCTGGAGGGCAAGGCCAAGCACAGCATCAGCTTGCTTCCTCCCCACAGCTACCTACCATGCCTCCAGCCCCAGGGAGGAGGAGGGAGGAGAGCAGGACAGGAGGGAGGAGAGCAGGACAGGAGGGAGCAGACTGGCCTAGAGCTCCTGGAATATAAACCAGTTTGGCAGACTCTGTGCTGGAGCCTGTTTTTCCTGGGGCTTCCTCCAGGGGCGACAGAAGACAGACACTGTGCCCATCCTTGCCATCCCCAAACAAAATTCTCTGTGCAGGTAGGGGACCTTCCTGTCACAGGGACAGAAGAAGCCTCCAAGGGAGCAGGAGGCAGCATGGCCTGTGGAAGAGTGTGGGGGTCAGGCTGCACCTGTTCACGGCTGTGTGTCCCTCAGCAGGTTAGGGAGCCTCTCGGAGCATCTCCTGATCACAGCAGCTGCTATAGTCCTGTGAGGTATCAGGACTGTTTACAACTGAGGAAACCAAGGCACAGAGAGGTGTTGAGGCGAAATCCCTCATCCAAGTTGTCTCAGGAAATGAAAGTGAAGGCAAGAGAATTTCTTTTATTTCAGCAAAACAGAAGTAACAGCTTCCTTTGGGGGCTGGGAGAGTGCAATTGAGTTAAATGACCCTTTGTGTAGGATACGTGGTACACACAGGTGTCCGTGCAACCCCAGTCTGTCTCCTGCCCATGTGTCGCATCATGGTGCCCAGACACAAGCTGCCAATGTCCAGGTGGCTCCTTGGAGAGACACAGCCTCCACAAAGGTGGGGTCAGTAATGTGCCCCTAGTCCCTCCTGGCTGGTACGCTGGGTCCATGTCCTGAGGTGAAAGAGAAGGGTTTGGCTTCTAGAAGCTGCCAGCAGAGAACTTTAGAGGGTGAAAGGCTCCCCTGTCTGCTGAATGGCAAGTTCCCCTTCTGCTGCCCCAGGGAGAGCCTGGAGATGCTGTCTGCCGCCATGCTGGCCTCTGGGTGCGGCCAGCAGTCAGCTGGGCTGCCCTTCTCCCTCTCCTGCCTGCCCTGCTGGGACCCGCCCTGCTGGGAAAATTGGAGCCTCTCCAGCCCCAGGGCAGGCGCAGTGTTCCTGTCCCAGGAAGGTGGGGAGGGTGGGGGGGGGACAGAGAACAGGATGGAGATTCTTGAAGGCTGCTGGGAGAATGCCTTGCTTCCTGGCCTCACGTTAAAAAGAAAGAAAGGAAGCAGAGTGGCCTCCCTTGCTCAGCGGTTTGTCCCCAGGAGAGTGTGAGGGTCTGGACAGTCCCACACCCTCCCCCAGCGCCAGGAGCATAAACAAAGAAGGCTGCAGAGGATCAGGAAGTCTGAGGATGGGAAATTCCAGAGCCTCCCAACTCCACGCTCCTCTTCCACCAGCTGAATGAGTCCAGGCGGCAGAGAGGAATGAGCCTAAGAGCCCTGTGTGCCCTCCGGCCAGCCCTGGCTCTTGGGGAGAAGGACCTCTGGGGGCACATTTCTGTTTTCTTTGTGATGAAATACTGTTGCATGGTTGCAAACCAGGACTTGGCAATGGGCAACAGTAGATGCTCTTCCTGAGCAAACAGGCTGTCTACTCAGGTCATGGTTCATCAGCGTGGTTTCAAAGTCCCTCCCCTGTGCCTGGCCCCACCAGATTCCTCCTTGTATCCTTCCTACTGTGACCCCATCTCAGGCTGTTCCTTTGCCCCTGCAGAGCCCCAATTGCTGGCCTGTCCCCTCCTAGCTACCGTGGGGCTGCAGGAAGGCTACTTGGGCTTCCCATGTGCTGCTGCATCATGTGAAATGGGGCTACTAATACCAGCACCGACCTCATTATGGGCTTTCTGGGAACATCATACAAGAGAATCTGCATGGAGCACTTGGCAAATATTCAGTTACCTGTTAGGGACACCGAATGTGAGCCCCATTCAGATCCCCACAAAGTTTTCTCAAGCTACTCCAGGGCTTCTCAGCGCTTCTCCCAACCTCTGAGGGACTCATGTTGGTGCCAGGACTGTCCCTTACACAGTTTCCATACCTTCCCCACCCCGAACCCATGCACATCAGCGTTCCTCGGAGATTTGCCGACCTGTTGATTCACTTCCCCAGGAAGGAGATTTTTCATCACCCAAGCCTGGGATCTCTGTTCCCAAATCCAAACCCATGAGGCTGGCTAGTCTTGCAGCTTCTCAGCCCTCAATACATCCTAGAATGCCTGGCCCTTTCTGGGTGATCTTTCACTCCCTTGCCACCCTTTCATGCCCAGAAGTCACCCTTATCTTTGGACTGAGAGTTTTTCCATTCTGTAGGTGAAAGTGCATGACAGTTACCATCCTATCATCCACCTGGAGAAAAAGAGAGCCACCACTGCAGTTGAAATTTGTGATGGTTGTTGAGGGCCATTGGCGTCCAGCTGTGTAGGCCAGCTGTGGCCAGCTGATGGCTTGGGCAGAGCGTCTTTATCATTGATTACTCCCAAGGCTGCATAAAACTGTGTCTAGCACCAGGGCTGGTTTCAGTTTTCCTTGGCAAAGAAATGTTGAAACATTTCTTTGGACACTTCTTCCTCCTCTTGTCTTACCAGCCCGGCCACCTGCCAGATGACTTAGGCTTCATGACCCTTGCTAGCATCTAGATCCCCTCTCCATGACCTCATCAGAGCCTGAGGAAGCCACTTCTCCCTTCTTCCTTGTTCACGTTTCTCCCTGAGCTTGTCCTGGCCCTGGCATCTGTGTCCCCTGTGAGCATCTGAGTCCATGCAGCTTGCCCTGACATTGGCCCCTTCTCTCTCTCCCACTAAGCTGACTCTCTTGGTGTGTACCCTCTTACTGTACCCAGGACACAGGCACCTCCCCACTGCTGAAAACCCCGCTTGCCCTTCTGCTCACAGTGGCGCGGTGGAGCCCTGACCTTTCACCATCGGCTCCCTGGCTCATTTCCTCCCTGGGAATGTCCCCTGCCTGCCACGGTCCTGCCTCCCCAACAACTCTCACTTCTGGAACTGTGAGGTCAGTTTTCCTGCACACCTGCTCTGGATGTCCCAGAGTCCCCAAGACAAGGTATCCTGCCTTCCTCTTCCTGAGCGGTCTCAGCTCACCTCTAGGCCCCAGAAGCATGTTTTGATCTGTGGAGGTGGTAGGGACAGAGTAGACCAATGAGGACCCTTTCTCCCACCTCCCAAAAGTGCCACCCTAGCCACTATTTTACTTTTCCTAAGCCAGACTGTAACTGGCTATATTAAAGATAATTTCTCATAAGGAATCATGACATTTTAGGACACAAGTAACCATCAGTAAAAGAACACAACTCCCTGCCCCTGTGGGTTACCAAAGCAGAGAATCTCTGTACCACTTGATGAGGCCTACCTGGGGGTCACAGAGGAAGGGGGCCCTTCACATGTTGTATGTTGTTTAACAGTTTCTCACCAGACAACCTCATATTTGAAGAAATGAAACAGAAACAGCAGAATTCTCAGTCTGAAGGTCCATGATCTAAAAAACAGGATCTATAGCTCGCTTGAGTGACACCATCTCCATGTTGTCACTGGAATCTCTGCCTGACATATCTGAATCAGATTTTGGGGGACCAGGGTATAAAACCACCCTGGGGCTTTGGAAGTCAAGTCTGGGTTGACAGCGGGGTGGCAAGAAGAGAGCCCCAAAACGCATTTTATTTTTTGTTCTTTTTTGGTGTGTGTCTGTCCTCCCTCTGTCCCTCCCTCCCTCTCTTCCTTCCTTCCTTTTTTTGAGACAATCTCACTTTATTATCCTTGGTAGAATGCTGTGGTATTAGAGTTCACAGCAACCTCAAACTCTTGAGCTCAAGCGATCCTCTTGCCTCACCCTCCCAAGACAACACCCAGCTAATTTTTCTACTTTTAGCAGAGATGGGGGTCTCACTCTTGCTCAGGCTGGTCTTGAACTCTTGAGTCCAAGAAATCTACCCTCCTCGGCCTCCCAGAGTGCTAGAATTACAGGTGTGAGCCACCATGCCCAGCCAGGTGTGTGTCTGCCCTCGGTAGAGTGCCATGGTGTCAGAGCTCACAGCAACCTCAAACTCCAGGGCTTAAGCGATTCTCTTGCCTCAGCCTCCTGAGTAACTGGGACTATAGGCGCCTGCCACAACGCCTGGCTATTTTTAGAGATGGGGTCTCGCTCTAGCTCAGACTAGTCTCGAACTCCTGAGTTTAGGCAATCCACCAGCCTCCGCCTCCCAGAGTGCTGAGATTTATAGGCATGAGTCACTGCGCCTGGCCCTGTTTTTTTTTTTTTTTTTTTTTTTTTTGAGACAGGGCTTCACTCTGTCCCCAGGGCTAGAGTTCAACAGCAGCACCATATCTCACAGCATCCTCAGACTTTTGCATTCAAGCAATTCTCCTGCCTCAGCCTTCTGAGTAGTTGGGACTACAGGCACCCACCACAAAGCCCAGCTGGTTTTTCCATTTTTAGTGGAGACAGGGGTCTCGCTTTTGCTCAGGCTGGTCTCGAACTCCTGAGCTCAAGTGATCCTCTTGCCTCAGCCTCCCAGAGTGCTGGGATTACAGGTGTGAGCCACTGCACCCAACCCCCCAAATGCATCTTAGTTTCCCCACACACACCAGGCACATGCATCAGAGAGGCTGGTGTGTGTCACCATCAGAGAATCTCTGCCATTGAACCAATAAGAATTCCCTGGGTTGTTTTTTTTTTTTAAATGGAGGGGGGCAGAGATGTTGTCCATTTCGATCCAGTTTATGAGACCTTCTATAATATTAGTCACATTTACCTCTTCTCAAAGAACAAAAATGAAAAATTCTGTGTGTGACAGCATAGCTTTAAAAAGCAAAACTAAGTTTTGCATTTCTATAAAACTTAATAAAAAATACCATTCCATCTGGAAAGTCCACCAGAAGTCCACCTCCTCAGAGGGCCCCAGTGCTCTGGCCCAGTCTGTTTGGAATGCCTTATTTCTACAGGGCTGCCTTTATCCTTGCCAAGCAGGAGCTCCCCTTGTCCTCTTTGGTTAACTTTGCCCTCTCATTTGCAGAGTCCTTTTTCTTCTTTTTTAACTGGAGAATATTTATAACAAAAAAATTACCCTTTTTTTGAGACAGAGTCTTGCTGTGTTGCCCTCTGTAGAGCGCTGTGGCATCATAGCTCACAGAAACCTCAAATTCTTAGGATTAAGCGATTTTCTTGCCTCAGCCTCAGAGTAGCTGGGACTACAGGCACCCACCACAACTCCTGGCTATTTTTTTGTTGTTGTTGCTGTTGTCATTGTGGTTTAGCAGGCCTGGGCCAGGCTCGAACCCATCCTCAGTGTATGTGGCTGGAGCCCTACCCACTGAGCTACAGGTGCTGAGCCAGAACTTGCCTTTTTAATGCATTTTAATTGTATCATTCTTAAAGTATTGTGTTCATAGTATTGAGCAATCACCACTATCTATTTCCAAAACTTTTTCATCACCCCAAGCAAACTCTGTACCCTAATTAAGCAATAACTTCCCAGTCCATCCCCAGCCCCTAGTAATTTCTGTCCTACTTTCTTATGAATTTCTTATGAATTTGCCAATTGTAGGTATTTCATGTTAGTGGAACCATATAGTATCTGTCCTGTCTGGCTTCTGTCATTTGGCATAGTGTTTTCAAGGTCGCCAGTGCTTTTTTGGTTTGGGCTCTGCTCTGGAGGGGCAGGCAGAGCAAATCACCCTTGACATCCTCACATTTCCCCAACCTTGCTCTGCTACCTGCCTCCCCTTCATTCTGTCTCTCAGGTGTGGTGGTGATGATGGAGGGCAGGCTTAGGGTAGTTGGGAAGTCTCTCCCACTTCTCACACTGCTCAAATCCTAGCCCATCAAAGCAACTAGGCACCAGGGGGACCTTCTGAGCAGAGGCCTCCCAGAGGAGGCCAGGGAGTAATGGAGACTGTTCCCCCAGCAGCTTGGCAAGAGATTTTAAGAGTTATCCAATATTCTTACCTTTTACTCTGTGAATTCCATTTCTTGGAATCTGTTCCAGAAAGGAAAAGATCAGAAACATAGACCAGTATTCATGCACGAAGATGTTCCCTGCAGTGTTGGTTATAATAGCTCCAATAGGAAGCAGCCTAAATAGCCAATCATAAGGGAATGACTTAGTATTATGGTAAAATATTACATGCCTATAAAAATGATATTTGCAAAGCAAAACAAGATTTTTGATGGTGGGGAAATGCCTATGACAAAATGTTAAGCAAAAAAAATTTTTTTTAGGCAGACTCTAATCCTTTGTATGCATTATGATACCAAGTATATAAAGGGGAAAAATCACAGGGAAAAAATAAACAGAACATATGCCAAGCTGCTTGGTGCAATTATGGTTTTTAAAATTTTTCTTTGCATCGTTCTGCACTTTATGAATTCTTTATAAAAAGTACATGCATTACTTTGATCTTCAGGCCATCAGAGCAGTAAATGGGAGGAGCTATGCTCCTGCATGTGATTAAGGGGGAACCAGAATTGGGGTGGGAGGGGGCAAGCACTGATCTGTGAACTGTATGGCACCTGAGGGTGCTTTGGGGGGATGCTGTGGTGGGGGGGG